TGTTGTATTTATTGATCTTAACACTTTATTTTTTATTTTTTATTTTATATTTTTTAAAATAAAATAAAATTTTCATTTTTTTTATTTTTATAAAAAAATGTGCTAGAAATTAATCTTAGTTTAAAATAATTTTAAAAATATTTTGAACCTGAAAAAAAATTACAAAAAAAATGGACTTGACAGGTCAGGTTCCCACTCCTACGTATCCTCTGTGTGTAACGTAGGAATCAAAGCTATCATGTAGTTCTTTTTCAAAAATTGTATTTTGGATAAGTTTCAAAGATTTTCTATCTTTTTTATTTTTTTGAAAAACTTAATTTTTCTTTATTATTATTTTTAAGTAAATTCACTCTTGCACAGGGTTCAAGTTAGCACACGGTTACTCAATAAATTTTTATAATCCAAACAACGTTGAAGGTGAATCCTCCACTCTATCAAAATTACTTGGCCGTTGTGTGGATTCAAAAGACTCCCTTTTTTTTAATAATGAAAAATTGATGTACCTTTTAATATGAGATTTTTGCACGCAAAAAAGAAACAAACGAGAGACATACAAAATAAATAAACAAATACAAGAGCAAACAAAAATGATGAGGAAATAACTCTTATTCGATTTAGGAATTAAGTTTTATTTTAAGGTTAGGATATGCAAAGAAATTAGGGTTTTTAGAATTTATGAAAAGAAAGAATTTTTAAGATTTAGAAAAATTAAATTTTTATAATTTGCAAAATTGTTAGGGTTGAAAAAATGGTTTGTTTTAGACCTTGTAAAAAATTGAATGATTTTGGGTTAGAAAAACAAATATTCTTTTTAGTATTTGCAAAAACAAAATTAGTTAGAAAAAAATAGTTTATTTTTAGGGTTTGCAAAAAGGTAATACTTAGATTTAGTGAAAAAAATTAATTTTTATGGATTTAGATTTTTTTTATTTTTTATTTTTTAGGGTTTGACTGAGTGAGAAGTAATTTAGGATTAGAAAAATTATTAAAATTTATAAAAAAAATTGAAATTTTATTAAATTTTCTCTTTTATTTATTTATTACACTTGCAAAAAAGGTTAAATCATGAAGAAGAAGAAGAGAAGAACGTATAAAAAAATAAACAAAGAAGGAGAATCCTTAATAAATATAGAAAGGATGAGAAATGAATAAAGAAGGAGGATTTTTATTAGATAAAAAGTGAAAAAAAAAATTATTAGACAAAGGGAGGATGAGAAACAAAACAAAGAATAAAATGAAGAACACTTGCTTGATGAAAGTTTTTCTTTTTCCTCTCATGGTTGGATCTCTCCTTCTTCGATTTGTTCTTTGTAAACGATCTCGAGATGTGTTTTAGGATTTTTGGCCCTGCTAGATAGCTTTCTCTAATCTCTTGTCATTCTTTTACTTTTTGTTTCCAAGGCTCTCTCTATAATTCTCTCTCAAAGAGGTCTCATAAAAATAAAAGATGTCCACTTTCAAAATCCCCTTCTCTGAAGACTTAAGCTTCCTATTCATAGACATTTTCTAAAATCCTAATAAAGGCTCCTTTATTTTCTGATGACTAGTAATCAGTTTTTTTTTTATCCATTTTCCTAAAAATCTGCTAACTACCTTTACCATTTCTAAATCTAATTTTACATTTTAAAATTGAAATTTTGAATTTAAATTTTGAATTTAAATTTTAAATTGATTTTTTTTTATCTATTTTCTTAACCTCTTAAAAAAAGAAATTATTATATTTAATTTTTTGTTTTAAAATTTATTTTTTACAGGGACTCGGATAAAATTTGGTATTCACACTCCTCATACTCAAAATCGAACATGACGGTCATGTTTGTGTATTTTTTTACTTTCGCTTAAGCGAAATTTCACTCGCTTAAATAAATGTTTAAAAATACATAAACATGACTGTCATGTTCAATTTTGAACATGAGGGGATCCTGGCACCATTTTTAAAGGCATTATTTGTTAAACTAGTCTTTTAAGTTGTGTGAATTTTTTATTTTTTTTCAAACTAGTTTCCTAAGTGAGTCAACATAACTCATGACACAAACCTCTTAGTTTAATCTTTGCAACAAATGAAACTTATTAGATAATAACATGGGTCATAATCTTATAATTTTGTTGTTACAGAAGATGAACTTGATTTAAAATTTTTTTAAGAAAATAAATTTTATTTGTACAGCAAATGAAATGGTGCTAATGTGACAAAAAGACTACAGACAAAAAATATTTTAGAAAAATATTATTTTTTAAAAAATATTTAAAATATAAATCACCTTAAGCTACGTTGTGGGTATTCTAAAATTTTTAATATTTTTATATTTTATTTTTATTATTATTATTTTATTTTTTCTTTTTTAGATTTTGAATTTTTTATTTTTTTTTAGTTTTTAATTTTTAATTTTATTATACATTTATTATTCTTTTTAAATTTTCTTTTCTTATTTTATTCTATCTCAATTGTTATAGCAATAAAAACAAACTAAATAAAATTAATTATTCACACTTATGATGAGTCTCAAGAAATATATTTTGTACTTTTATAGTTACTCTATTTGTTAATCATACTGCTCTTAAGAAAAATAGTACATTTTAATAGATAGGCTTAATTATGTTTTTAGTCCCTATAAAGTTAACACATTTTGCAATAAGTTCCTATAATTTTTGTTAAGATTTAGTCCTTAAAAAATTAAAAAATTAAAATTTATTCTCTGTCGTCAACTCCCCTCCGTTAAATATATATATCTTAAACTTTTAGTAGAACTTATAACTATCTAGAATGTAAGATGTTAATTAGAGGGGTGAACTAATATAAATTTTTATTTTTATTTTTTTTTAAATTTCTATTTATTTATTTGCATTGATCAAAAGAATTCTTGAATTAAATTTTTGTTTAAATAAATATCATCTTTATTTTTTTGTTAAATATATTGAATAAAAGTTCAGTTTGCAAGAAATTTGGAAAAAAAACTCATTCAACCCTCTTCATATTTTCTTTTCTTACTTTTGCTACACATTTGGTAGATATTGCGTATAGAACTTAATTTATGTGTAATTATTATATAGATTTTGTATTACTAGTTGTGATAAATTTATTGAAAATATATCTTAAAAGAAATGTAATATCTATCCTATATTATATATGATTTGAAAATATAAATTATTAAACGAGAGGATTTTTTAATATTTTATTATTATTATTAACGAAGCAAAAGTCTAACAAACATCAAAATAACTAATAATTTTTTTATCATTCTCTTGAAGGATAGGAATAAGTTGAGAGGGAGAAACTTAAAAACTAGCTTATCTTCATGCACTTGAAAAGTCTGATTAGCATTATAATTCGTAAAAAAAGTTGACTTTTCTGAAAGTGATAAATACTAACTATCGTAATGAAAAATACCAGCAACTTGATTTTCTTAACGATGGGATATATCTTATGATTAGGATAAACATTAAAATTAACTAAAACTATTACTAACTTTGAATCTATATCAACTAAGATATCTCTAACTTGAGGTCTTTAACTAGCTTAAATTCCATTAAAAGTGTCCACAATTTAAGCTGAATAACTGAACAATGATCAGGCCTCCACATGATCTGTGATTATTTCTTGGATGAAAATCAGTTTTTAACACCTTTTATGGCGCACAAACTGCTAGATTCACTGCTTCAATTCAGCGGTGCAACCTCAGGAAAGGGATTTGGGAAACCTTAACAGAGCGTAACTTTATCGTGGAAGAGAAAACTTTCTCTACTTCAATCAGAGCATTTTTAGAGAATAGTTATTCTTCTATCACATCCAATTTATGTTTTTAAATTAAAGTTCTTTTAAGAATTAGTTCTTTTTATTTATTATATCAAGTATTTTTTTTTTCTACACTAACTACTTATTTCTAAATTTAACATTCTAAATATTACTTTTTTATTTAATTTTATTTATTATAATATAAGTTATTATTAATAATTATAATTACAATTTTTCTCATTTAAAAATTTATAGACTTCGTACATTAAAATCAACTCTTGCTTTTTTTATTTTTTATAAGATCTTTTATTTAATTTTTTCAAAACTTAGCGAGTATAAGTTATTTTTAACTTATGAAAAATTATTTATTTTTTCATATTAATTTTTTCGTATAAAAATTTATCTATAAATTTACCTTAATTTGGCTAATATATTTTTACTTATTTATTTTAATTTAATAATATTCATGAAAAATAAATACTAATTATGTTTATAATCGATAAAAACAAAAAACAAAACATTGGCAAAATTTTGATTAGCCTGTTACACATCAAAGAAGATCGAGAAAGTAATGCTTGAATTCACTTGTTAAACTTGGTGCTTATATCTCTTTGTAAATAAAACATTTCCCATGAGCCTCATTATTGGTAGAAAAGATATAAAAGTAGCATATACTTAAATTTCAGATAAGATTTAAATGCGATTCATAGTGAAAAATATTAGTAATAATCAATAGTCAATGCACATTTAAAGAGATTTGAATTTCAATTTCAAAACAAATGTCAGAACTAAAAGAATAAAAAAGTTAAATGAATAAAGTGAAACATTATAAATAGAAAGAAAACAAACTGGATGACAGAAGTTTTTCATGAGATATTATGACTTTTTAATGACAGATTAAAATATAAAATAATTCCAAGAAATAGTTTTAAAATTCTCTATAAAATATATCATATAAAATTTCTTCTATTTAATATAAAATTTATCTAATTAAACTTTTAAAATATTCTAAAAATATTTTTTTCTACTATCCGAATATATAAAATCCTATAATTTGGAATTTATTTATCCATTCCCATTCGTTAGAGAATCGCACACTTGAAAACTCATAAGATCAAACAGATTCAAGAATAATTGACGAAAATGGTCGATTACAAAAGCAATAATAAAGATGTATCTATCATTTTCATATATTCCATTACCAACAGAGCATACGTACAAATGGATCAAAGAACAGATCTATCGATAGAACATATATTTCACAATCATAAATGGAAATTTTTCTTTAAACCTAATAACTATTGCCATAAGAAAACACGCAGATCAAAATGCGTTGCCCAACATCTTTCCATGGCCAAATTCGGGTAATTCCTTAGAACAACAGATAAATAAAGGTAAAGAGTTAAAATATTACCAAAAGGGAAAAACAGGGATTAACAATACAACAGGGTTGCAACTAGCTGCAAGAATTCTGAACCTCAATACAATTTTTTTTTCTATTTATAGAATAAAAATCAAACATCAAAATTAGATTTCTATATACACAGAGTTAACCAAAAAATTGTAGACAGAAAAAAAAAGGATTTTTTTTCCCTTTGTTATTTTTTTTCTCGGTATTTTATCATCTTAACAGAGGGGTTCTACAACTACCTTGACTTTCAACATCTTCAAACCTTCTGGAATCTTCTTCTTGTTCGTGTTCTTCATCTTCGTCACCACAATCGTACATAGATCCAACGAGAAGAAGCTGATCCTCGAGGTACCTATGCAAGAGCCCCTTCTCCTCTTCCTCCTCGCGGCCTTCCTCGCATCGCCGGAGCCGATCGGCGTCGTCATCGTCGCGGAGGAGCTTCCGCCAGAGGCGGCGGCGGAGGCAGAGTTCGGAGACGCAGAGGAAGGGGAGGGCGGCGCAGAGGAGGAGGAGGAGGAGCGGGGAGCAGAGAAAGAGGAGAAAGTAGCGGATTCGGCGATGACGGAGCCAGGAGGAGGCGGCGGCGAGGAGGGTGGTTAGCATGCAAGGCGAGGGATCATGGCGGCGATAGGGTTGGAGGGTTGGGACGAAAACGACGTCGTTTTTGGGTAATAATATCTGCGGTGGCGGTGGTGGATAGGTGCGTCCACATGGATGGGTAGTTTTGTGCATGAGATGAGAGATGGTGAGTGTGTGGGGAGTGAATGTGCGAGCATGTGATGTTGACTCTGATGCCCTCTCTCATTTCGCTTTCTTTCCAAACCCACCCCTCCATTCAAGTTTAAACCGTTTTCCATGTACTTGGTCATTACCACGTTGGGCTCAGGCCTATAGTTATGGCCCACTTTCATTTGTTTGCTTCATCTTTGAAGAGCCATTTTTTGTTAATTGAACTTACTAGGATGCTTCCCTTTTGTTTTAAATTTAGTAACTTCTACTACATATAAACTAAGAAAATATCTTATAATTTCTCACGCATATAATTATTAATAGATATAGTAAAATTAATGATTTATTAAAAAGGAACGTAAATATTTTAATTTTTTGTTTTTTAAAAGAATATCAATCATTAATTTAAAAAATATACAGTATCTTCTCAAATTTAAGTTATTCTAACAAGCATCTTTAAATTTTTAAGAGATATTTTACTTAAATTTTTTTTCTGAATCATGCGACTCTTCTATTTGCGGAACCAAAATTTTAGAGTAAAGGAGATTATTACCCTGCTCCCACACTATAGGTCCCAGATTTTGGTAAATTAAGATTTATTAGTTATAATTCAAATATTAATATCATGCTTAGATTTATATTTATATGGGTATGAATTTAGGTTTATTTTAATACTATTAATTTTAAATTTTGTATTGAATTTATATTTTTAATTTTTTTAATGAATATAGGTTACCTACTTTAGTCATAAGTAAAAAGAGTAACTGAATGAATAAATTCGTGTTAATTTTACTAAGATTCTCTGCGCCATAAATTTTGTGTAATTTACGTATTATTTTATCCTTATATGCATTACTTTTTCTTCTTACAAGTTGTGTGGAAAAAAGAGTTTTGGAGAAATTAATTATGCATTTATTATCATTTAATAAATGACATATAAGTCCTTACCTCATTTTCCCTTTTAAAATAAGTCCACACACCAAAGTAACCCAATAACAATGCAAAGTAAGGTATCGGAGATTCAATGGGTATGAGAGATTCTAATTTGTTTTTGTTCACTTCTTGATGGAGTTGGCCCAACGCCAAGAGTATAACCATTTATATTTGTGTCAGGGCTATAACATGACAACGCATTGGCTTCTTCACTGAGGTCGTAGAGCTATGCTGCTGCTACTTCTTGATCTCTTGTATTTTTTTGCCTCACTCAGATTTTTAGCTAATTTATCCCATTTTTATAATATCACTCCAGATTCAAAGATGTATGCTTCTTATTTTATTTTTATCTCGTGCATAATAAATACACAGCAATGAGTTGTAAAACTGCTATTAATCCATCATTAATTAACAAAAACACCAACTAAGTTAGACTCAAAACACACTAAGTTAGACTTTACTTTAAATAGGCTTGACTTGTAACATAATTATTAGGCATGAGTTTGGCCTATTACCTGTTAAAGACTTTATTTTCAGTCTGGCCTGGTCTGAAGCTTGTTCAAAAAAAAAAATCTTAACATTAATGAAAATATAAATATTTTATTATCAAATTAATTTACATATTTTTTTAATTTTCATTTGTATTATTGATAATTATTAAATAATTGTAATAATTTTTATATAATTTTATAAATAATTTTTAAAATATTATTTGAGCACTAATTATAAATGTTTCATATTAAATAAAATTTTATTTATATTTTCTTATTTATTTTTAAAAATTATTAAATTATTAAAAAATTTAGTTTTTTTTAGGATCATATTTTATTTGTTTAAAGACATCTTATATTTAATAAATAAAGTCATAGTAAACACATAAATTGATCACAAAAAATAACATTTACACAATTTATTGAATCAGCTGAAAGAAAATTATTATATTTTAAAAAATAAATAAATTTAAATTCAATGTAATAATATATATATATATATATATAATGACAATAATAATGACTATTAAATTAAAAGAAAAATAAAATAACTAAAAATATTTTATTTTATTTATTTTATTAATTTGTTATTTTAAATTAACAAATACATGTAAAATTAACAACACTATAATATTAATATAATATAAAAAAATATTACTGATACAATAAATTAAAATATATACTTATATATAAAATATAAATTAATAAATTATCTAATAATTTAATTTTTTATTTATGTAAATATTTGTGAATTATTGAATTTCAAACATATGTTAATAACTATAATTAAAGTATTAAAGATTTTAATTATTTTTTATGATAAATTTTTTTTTATAAAGACATCTTATATTTAATAAATAAAATTACAGTAAAGACATAAAATTGATAACAAAAAATAATGCTCACAAAATTTGTTGAATCAGCTAAAAGAAAATGATTATATTTAAAAATAAATAAATAGTTATTGTAAAAATAATAGATAAAAAATATTTATATTATAAAATTTAAGGATGTAGAAAAATAACGTATGAGCATAGTAAGAATTAATAAAATTTATATTTAAATTAAAATAACTTATATTTCAAAATTTTTATCTTAATCAAAAAATATGTAATAAAATTATATATATATATATATATATATATATATAATGACAATAATAATAACTACTAAATTAATTTTATTAATTTTTATTAATTTTTATTTTAAATTAACAAATATACATACAATTAACTATACTATAACATTAATATAATATATAAAATATTACTGATATAATACATTAAAATATATATATATATATTATAAATTGATTAATTAATTAATAATTTAATTTTTTATTTATACTTTTTTTTGTAAATATTTATTAATTATTGATATTTGAATGTATATTAATAACTATATTTTTTAAGAAAAATTTATTTATGTCTATGTTAAATTTATGAAAAATAGTTATTTAAAATTTGACATATTTATATTTATGTCTGGTATGTAAAATTTTTTACAGATACTTTACGTAAAAAATTTATACTAGTAAAAATAAAATACATATTAAGTTATAAAAAGTACATATTACTATATATAATTTATTTAAAATTATATTATTTATATTATTTACTATATGGTCCTATTATATATATATATATATATAAATATATATATATATATATATATATATTGTATATGAAATTTTTTATTTTATTTTTCTATTATTTTTTTATAAAATTTTAGTTTTGAATAAAATATAATTCATATTTAAAGAATTTTTATTTATTATAAAGAAAAATAATTAAACATAATATATTAATATAATAATTAAATAGTAATAATAATAAAATTAAGAATATAAAAAAATATTAATATAATATTATAATTTTATTTTTAAATTTTATTTCGTTCAGTTTTGATTGCGTCTTATTTCTGTTCAAAGATTTAACCACTCTTTAACTTATTTAAATATAACAAATATGATAATTTATTATTAAATAAATTTATTATTTAAAAAGTGTAATCATGTATAAATTTTTTTAATTTTTAATAGAATATAATTTCTATTTATTATAATTATAAATTAAAAGAATTATAACATAATATATTAATTTAATATAAAAAAATTAAAAATATATTATTAAATAATTTATTATTTAAACATATTTTGACAGCTGTATTTTTAAATTTTATATATATATAGGCCGACCTGTCAGACTTAACGGGCTTTACAAACAGTTCAGGCCTGATTTATTTAATTAAACAGACCTTAAAAAAAAAGCTTAAACGTTGTTTATTTATTAAAAAGGTCAGGGCAAGCTGCAGGCCTCTATTAGGCGGTGTGACCTGTTTCTATCTCTAGTTACCTTCCTTCTTATGACATATTTTGACTTGGATCAATATACTGATTGAGAGTGTATCAACCGTTGGAAAAAAATTAAAAAAATTGATTTATTTTATTTTTTAATTTATCTTATTTATTACAATTGTTTATTTAAACTAAGTTTACAATAATATTACTCCATTAAATATTTTTATAGCATTTTAAATTAAACAGAATTATAACTTTTGTTTAAAAGAGAAAATAAATCGAAAGTAATATAATTAACTCATAATTTAAAAAATAGAGCTATTAACCTATTAAAAAGGCAAACTTAAACTCGGACTTTGTTTAGTTGGGTAGAATTAAAAAGAGATAGAAAAAAAAAAGTATTTTATGTTGAAGGGATTAAAGAAGAAATTTTTGATTTAATGTAAAATAAATAAATAAATTATGAAACATAATATCATATTTTAAAGTTTAAATTTTTAGTAAATTAATTTTATATTATTCTAACTATTTTAAATATAATTTCATTATTTATTTCTATTATTATTTTTATTTATTCAAATAAAGAAAAATTATTTTTTCTTGAAAAAGATTTATGTGTAAACAAATCCTAAAATAAGGCATTGAACACATCAAATTACTTTTTTGAAGAAATTAAAATATTTTAAATAATTTAATAGGAAATTAAATAAAATTAATATAAAAAATATATTTCTTTTAGAGTGAATTTAGATAAAGTACTTAATAATAAATGAAATAAAGATAAAATAGAAAATATGTTTCTTTTAGCTAGCATGAGTTTATACCACTGACACACCCGTAAAATTGAACAAAACCTACTTATTTTTTATTTGTAAAATGTTAATTTAAATTTAACATTGTATCAAATGCATTAAAAACGTATTTAAAAATGTATGTTGTTCTCGCCTTCAAAATGAGGCTAAATTGCTTATAGGCACAACTTCATCATATCAATCTTCCTTGTGTCTTCGCTGTGAGAGTAATTTGTTGCCATAATAGCCATATCAATGTGGGTTGATTGCATAGAGCATGGATTTTGGGCAGTGACAAGAGTTTTCTTGGTATTGGCATCATTCGTTTTTAATACCTAAAATAGTACAAATCATTCGATTTTAATACAAAACAACACAGTTATACATGCATCCTACAATAAACAATATAAAAAAAAAAGATCACACAATTATATTGTAAATTGTTAAAAATATTTTTATTTGTAAATAAAATATTTGAATTATAAAAATTTATATTGAAAAGAATTTAAGACAATACAGAGTATACATAAATTCCTTATAATTTATTGGACAATTGAAGGCAAT